GGCAAAGAGGATGTGCAAGTGAAGCACCCATGTGGCAGTCGGTAGCAGCATTCCATTTGCAGAGGACAGAAGCAGGCTGAATGTACCCTTGGGGAGTACATTAATAACTGACAACTACCAATCCAAGTCTCTGCTCCACCAGATGCTGCCTGTGAGACTTTGGACAAGCCATTTTAGGTCAGGTTTACACTGCAGCAGCAGCATGTCTCAATATGGCTCTTCACAAGCTAGTTCTGTCCACTCCTTCCTGCCAACCTGATCCAACTAGGAATATACCTACTGAAGACACTCCAAGGAGGCTTTACATGGCCGATCTTGAGACCACAGTCTCCAGTGCACTTGAGAGCACCGGCAAAGAGGTCTCAGGACTGCAATGTACCCTGCAGGGTCCAGTTTTCCTTATCTGAAAAACTGGGATAATTCCTAGTTCACGGGATGGTTGGACAGATAAATACAATGGTGAGGTTCTCAGATGCTACAGTAAGAGTAGGATAGAATACATATTCTAAACAGAATAGAATACAAGGGCGAATCATAATTGTCACTCTAATGAGTATCTAGGATTGTGTATGCACATTAAAGATGGTCAGAGGAAAAAATGTCTAATGTGTAAAAGTTAAAAAAAAAAATGTCCTAATTTTGGGCTACAGTCCATAGTAGACTGCTGGCTATACACGCAAATAGGTTACAGCTAAATAAAGTTCCCAGTGAAGGGATGGAGGCTATCACAATCTATTCCACAAAATGGCAGGTCATATCTATCATGTACAACAAAACCACTTAAACTTAAATATTTTGGAACATAAAACCCTCTGCCAGGTTACTGAACAAGGGTGAGAAAGAAAACCATTTCTTTGGGCTCTAAAAGGAGGAACTCTTGAATGATTCTATGAGTTTTTAATGGGGAGAATCAAGTATTAGCTTGTTAGCTTATGTTGTGAGTTTGATAATGCTTTATGTATAACGATTGTAATTGTTTTCCCCTATATATTTGTCAGGCCCTGATCCTATATTCTGATTCTTTGTGAATGGAGCTCTGAGCCCATGTGCAGCAAACTGCAATCTTCTCCCCTAGTTCCCTTGTTGTTTTTGTAAGTCTCTCACATAATTGCAAGCGAAGAAAGATTTTTAAAAGACAGAAAAATGGGAACAACAACTGACAGGAGAAACAAGGACTGTTGTATATGAATCAATTTTCAGCGGCCTTTTTTTATTTGCAAATTAACATGAGTATAATATAATACTTTAAAGGAAGGGCGTAGAGCCTTCCCTTAGACTCCCCAGAAACAGAAAGCTGTTCTCAAACAACAGCATAGGAAACATATGTCTTATGGTCACTTGGTTCAAATACGTGTAGATTTCAGAGAAGGGTGAACCCAGCAGCTAACAGCACCCACTGTTATTGCCAAGCAGAACACTGTTCTAATTTAAGGAGTGGTTGTGCTCTACCGAAAAAGGACAGAGATTCCAGGAACTGTTCATCAGAAACAGTAAAAACCTGAATAGGTGCTTAATTTTGAGCAAGTGAGTAATCTCACTACCTTCAATGACATGATTCACATGTGTAAAATCAGGAATGCATTCAAATGATTTAGCGGACTTTCCTGAGATCGCAATAGTAAGATTTTGAAGTTTGCGTGATTGTATCATGGTAGTATAAATTAATTGAATTGCCCAGGATTAGTGGCAGCTAAAGAATGGATTTTAATTAAATCACAGAATGTTATTCTGTACCTGTTCTGGTCTATAAGTTATTAGTAAACATTATATATATAAATTATTATGACCAGATTAGATTAAATTATTGTACTTTGCATACAACAGATTATTGCATATTGACAATTTATCAACTGGGGCAGTTGATGTAATGTATTATTTGCTAATATGTAAAAATAAGCATATGTAATAAAAAGCCAGAGCACTGGGCTACGTATGTACTGGTTGTTAGTGGTGGTTTGGGGTTTTTTTCTTTTTTAATTTTACTCATTTAGGAATCACTGGAATCAACTGAGACTTGCGCTGATTTCAGTATAAATTGAATTTGATTCTGAACAAATGACAAATGTATTATAATTTATTATAATTTATTAATTCTGATGTTAAAACGCCAGATTTTTCTGTTTTTCCTTTTAATTTACTACCAATCTACAATAACTGAAAAATACAGTGGATTTCTGAATTACATTATCTGAATTTTCAGTGGACTTAACTAACATATGAAGGTAATACTATGAAAGAAAGAGTTTAAACATTTTGTAGAGTATGGTGGAAGCCGAGTCAGAGGCAACAAGCTCTTGAACCTCTGGTTGGGCTCTGAAAACTTAGACCTTCCTTTTAAAAAAAACCCCCCAAACTCCCTCTTAACAACAACGCTGTTTTCCCTTCCCTTCTTTTACAAAGATTAATGCCTGAATACTGTAAAAGTATTGGTTTATTTTCTATGCATCTATTCACGATTACTTTTCATACTTTCGCTCCTTTTATTTTATAAAATTTGCTTTGGCCAAGCAGAAGGCTGGTCTTATGGCTGTGAAAGGTTCATACTGGACCACCTAAACAAAGATGGCCTGGGGATCTGCACAGGTGTCAGAATCAACAACAGTAAGTTTAGAAAATTGTAATTTTAATCTGGGAAACTGATCCCAGAGCAGAGTTCTAAATGTTATCAGAAAATCAACATTCAGTAGGAGTATATAGCAATGGTTTATGCAAAAGGGACCGGTACTGTATTAAATAACATAAATTTTAAAGAAATAATAACATGGAAGAAATGATCAAAATTTAAATACAAAGTTGCAGTTGTACACTTGTAATACTAAAAACTTGATCTAGTCATTTTGCAACAGATAATATGCATGGCAATTACAGCTTTTTACATTATATGCATTTATATTCATAATTCATACATATGGAGAGAGCTTTTGGAAAGGATCATTTGAATTTAACATATACTACCACTCGTCATCTGAGCAAGGATAGCAAAAGGTATTTCTACATTATTTGCGATGTAAAAAACTGAACCATAGTTGCTTTGTGTCGTGCTTCACTTGCACAGACTGCAGTGCCTTCTGTCTACTTTAGGGTGTGGCATCTGCCATTGGGGAGGAAAAACTGGCATGTGTTGCCTTTTATAGAAGACTGATTTCATTGTGCTGAGGGCCTCTATTTTATAGCCTTTTAGTTCCAATCTTGTAGCAGAGTTGCTGAAACAAATGGAAGGACACACTTTTTAGTATAAACTTTTCAGGGCTGAAGAGTCCTCACTTTTTTCCCCAGGGAAAATATTTTAAAAGTAAATCTGTGTTAAACTTTGTGGCTTATTTTCCTGTTCAGAACTAGTTGCCAAGTAAGTCAGAAAGTATTGTAATCCTCAAGTGAGCTACCTTCAATACATCTTATCACATTTTTATATATACCTGTACACACAAACACACACACACACACACGCTTTTACATGAATATAAATGTCTAAAAGCATAAATGTGTAATTGATTTTGTATATGATTTTAGAACACACACAAATAAATAGACACAAGTAGACCTCTATATTTATATTTGCATATGAAAGACTTCAAAAAATCAACTTATGTGGTTTAATGTGTATAATTAGTGTGTGTTTGAATATGGAAAAGAAGAAAATCCAGGAGAAAATGTCAAAAAGGCTCACTAACAAAGATGTAGTATTCTCTTGGCAAAAGCTGATGAATGATTTGGCATGAATTCATCTTACAGTTCTGTTATTCTCTTTTCTACAAAGATGATATACCCTCTTTCTCGCAGTTTGCATAGGATTGCAATTTGTTGTTGTTGCAGGCTATAATGACCCTTGGGTATGCACCTGATTCCCCCCACTAGAATTACTCACCAATTTTTTCCACTGTCTCGTTTGTAGTAACTGTTTAACATTTCTACACTTGCAGTACCAAAAGAAAGAAAAAAAAAGCAAGGTTGCATGTAGCTGAAATACAAGCGTTATGAACACATAGTTGACAAATTTTGAGACTTGCAAACTAACTCCATAACGGAAGTCCTAATATTTTCTGATTTTGCTGCACAGGAGGAAAGAAGTCAATAAACACTGGACATGCATTGTTCATACATGTTTCAATAATCTTTGAGTGTAAGTCAACATTATATATTATGAAGCTTCTGTTTTTCAGTGTTTTCACAATGGACACAACATGCCTTCCTATTCATAAGACTGTCTTCCAGAAAATACAGCTGTTTAAAACATTGGGATAAAATATTTATGCCAAGTAATGAATTTTAGATCTTGACAAAATAACATTAATATCCTATTTTGCTGATGTCCGGAAAAAGCTATTTGATTTTCCTCCTCATTTTACCAGTTAAATCTTGCCTGTGACTGTTACCTTTACGCATATCAAGTTATTACATGTATCAAAGCAGTTATTTAAAAGAACTAACCACCAACACTTGCCGAAAGGGCTACTATATAAATGAAAGTCATTATTATTAATGTAACAGTTTGATGTTGAGTAAATGTTGCTTTGCTCTCACACTGTACTTTATATTACTACATTTCCATGAACGTCTAGCCCAGTGGTCTCCAAAGTAGGGTGCGCGCACCCCAGGGGGTGTGCAAGACAATCCATTGGGGTGCGGGAAGAAAATATTGGAACGTCTATTTATATTTATATAAATATACATATATTGGGGGGGGTGTGCTCAAAAATTTTTTACTGATGGGGTGCGCGATCAAAAAAGTTTGGAGACCACTGGTCTAGCCTATCCTTGGAATAATGTTTGTGGATGCGACTGTAAGACTGAAAATGTTTTACTCTCTTTAAGTCTTCTTGATCTGCGTATAAATACAAAGGACATGTTGAAAACAGCCCCATACCTAACGGTTACATTAAATACATAATTAGTTCAAACAATCCCTAGAATTCTGAGCAAGCTGGACACTACAGACAAGTACAAAAATGCCCGTCACTGAATTTCACATTGTATTTTACAAATCTCTGCATGCCAAAGACGTTGTAAAATCGTATTTTATTTTTTCATCAGATCATCACAGCCAGAGCACTGCATTCCTCTTAAGAATAGCAGGAGAAAGCTTTTGAGCACTGTGAGGTGGACTGAGAAACAGGTTAGAGGTTTGGCAAGTTTCACAAGGTTTTCTTCTTCTTAACCCAAAAGTATGCATCACTCACAAGGTGTTTGCGTTGTTCTCTTCCCCCGCTTCATCTCCCAGACTACATTTGACGAGGACCCAAAACATACTTAGGAGGAGGGCTAAATTCCTTCCTGATGGAAATGCTATTCTAGCTGAGTTTTATCTGCACTGGATTTGGCCCAGGGCTGCCTAGTTCTTGGCTTTTGGACTCAGATGAACTGGAGCATCAGTTTCATACGTAATTATGCTCTGTACAAAAGATGAGGGAATGAACTGGACCAAGTGAGTTTTCTCCCCACCCTGTCTCTGACACTAGGGTCACCTCTCTGCCTCTTTTTCTCTAACACTAGGACAGTGGTTTCCAACTTGTGGTCTGCAGAGCCCTGGGAACCTAAGGGGTCTGTAAAAGATGACTACCATCAATTAAAAGTATGCGAATACCCAGACACTTACATTTCAAAGGAGTCCACACCTCCATTCAAAACTTCCGAAGGGGTCTTCACCTCCATTTGAAGTTTTTTATCGGTGTGCAAATGAAAAAAAGGTTGCAAGCAAACCCCTGCAGTAGGGTCACCTCTGTCTCTCATGCTAGGGCCACCTCTCTCTTTCTATAACACTAGGGTTACCTCTCTCTCTCTCATTATCTCTAACACTCGGGTCACCTCTCTTTCTAACACTGGGGTTACCTCTCTCTCTAATAGGACGGCCACCTCTCTCTCTTTCTCTCTCTATAACACTAGGGTCACCTTTCTTTTTCTCTCTCCAAAACTAGGGTCACCTCCAGTGCTGTAGCAAGGGGTGGTTGAGCAGAGTGGCCACCCCAGCCACCAAAGTGATGGGGATGCCAACAGGCCCTGCCTAACTGGGCTGGGGGTGGGACAGAGCCACAAACAGCTCATTTGGGGGGGAGGGGGCATGGGGACGTGGGGAGGGCAGCTCTTGCTGCTGCATGCACTCCTGGGCAAGCATGAGGGGACATGTGCCCCCTGGGTCTGTGTGCGAGGCAAGGGCGGGCTGCCGCTGTGGGCATTTCCCCACGTGCCAAACTTCTTTGCCACGGCACTGGTGACCTCTCTCTCTAAAACTGGGGTCACCTTTCGATAACAGTAGGGTCACCTCTCTCTATTACACTGGGGTTACCCCTCTCTCCCTAAAATTCAGGTCACCTCTCTCTCTCTCTCTCTCTCAGTCTAACACTAGGGTCCACGCTCCCTCTCTGTCTCCCTCTCTCTAACACTGGGGTCCTTGCCAGGCAAAAAAAGAAAAAGAAAGAGAAAGGGGGGAGCCCAACCTTCCCCAGAAAGGTGCGGGGCTCCTGAGGTGGCCTCCTCTCCTCTCCTGCCCTCCCCGCGTGCGGCGGCGGCGGCGGCGGAGCAGGAGGGAGGGAAAGTCCAGTCCGCGTTTTCCAGGCGCGCGGCGGCAGGCCGAGAGAAGTGGATAATAGTTGTCGGAGCTCGCTCTCTCTCTCTCTCGCTCGCTCTCCCATGCCATGCTGGGCCGGAGCGGCTCAGTCAGACGTGTATTTCCCCATATCCGGGTGAGGGAGGAAAAGGCAAGAAAAAAAAGTTTCATTTAAAACCCGAACCAACAAAAAAAAAAAAAAAAAAAGGAAAAAAATCCCCCCCTTGAAAAAAAAAAAAAAGAAAGAAACCCACCACCACCCCCGCTTGCTTCCAGCAGCCGCAGCAGCGAGGGAGGCAGCCGGAGCAGGCACGGACCCACGGCCGCCCCGGACACGCGGGGAGGGGAGCTGCGGTAAATTTCGCGTGTGCGGCGGCGGGCGTGTGCGGGTCCCCTCCCCGGAGCCCGTCTCTTTCCTTTGCTGCGTTTTTTAATTCTTCTTCTTCTTCTTCTCCGTTTTGTGCGGCTCCCCCCCCCCCCCACCTCCTCCTCGCCGGGCCTCGCAATGTTGCCATGATCATGGCCGCGCAAGTGGCAGCGGCTCCGGCGGGGGCGAACAACAGCAAGGGCAAAGCGCCGGGCTTGCCGGGCAGCCTGAGCCAGGAGCGCGGCGCGGCGGCGGCGGGCGGCTCCATGCTGGGCGCCGGGGACGGC